GACAATTATATGTAAAACTCTCCTTCGACAATCAATAACGATTGTAAAGTTTTACGATCATTATTGATTGTCAAAGGAGAGTTTTACATGAAATTAGTTTTACAGTAAAACTATTTCTTTAGAGAATTTCGCACTTAATAGAGTTGAATAGTATATACAAGAAATTAAAAATAGTTTAACTATATAAATAATTGTAATAATTATATATATATATATATATATATATATATATATATATATATATATATATATATATATATATATATATATATATATATATATATATATATATATATATATATATATATATATATTCTATCAGATTCCTACGTCATCCGGGTGATTTTTTTTACTATAACTTAATTTTTAATGCATTTATACATTTAAATTTATCTCTTTTAAATTTAAAATATAATTTTTTTGATGGATGACGTAAGTTATTGAAATTTCGACCTTTTATGCAGATGAAAATATAAAAGTTCTTTTATGTACCTTTGCTATCTTAGCGAATATGTTTTCAAACTTGGCATGGTTAAGCAACTTTTTCTAGTTTTTCGCGTAAATTTTTATTTACGTTATTAAAGCAATGACGTGTAAAACATTAAACTTATCTAATATTTTTTTGCGATTTTGTCTTATGACTTATTTATATCTGTTTCAATTAACATAAAGTTTGAGTAATATTTTTTTTGTTTTTATAATAATCTAATAAGGTTTATAACTTGTTAATAAATATTAGAAATATATATTTTCAATTTTTTTGTTGATAAAAAGTAACAACAAATTACTTAAGTTCAGCCAATTTCATCATTTGTCGCGTTTTTTCTTTACTAAAAGAAGTTTTTTTACTATTATATTAAATGTCATATGATAAAACATTTTATTGTTGTTTTTATTTCTTTTACAAAACAAAATTATCTTTAATATTTCAAAAGTTATAAATATTTTAGTAACACCCCTTACGTTAAAATTTTCAAAAAAAAAACAAAAAACAAGAAGCCGTAAAGCTCTGAAACAGCCGTGAAATGCTTATCGTATTTCTGTTTCGCAGTGGTGAAAATTACAAATTGAAATACTATAATATATTAGAAAAATCATTGATAAAAATTTTGTATTAAGTGATTATTTGCTTCTTGTGGGTATGATGTACTTCCAAAAAGCAGCCTAAAGTGATAAACAATTTGATGAAGATTGAGAAAATAATATTTATAAAGAATTTGTTTTTGTTTTTATGATTGTAGGGCTTCAAAAATTTATTCTTGTGTTTTAAAATCCTTACCTACAGTTTACATAACAGGTTTATGTTTGAAAAAAGAAATTGATGAGTGTATTACGTCTAAGCGCCAATCTGAATTTAAGATAAGGGCTGTTGTTACCAATAACCATTCTACAAATGTTAATGTATTTTTATAGTTTCATAAAGCATATACTGGAGATGGAAAATTATTGATTTATTATTTAGTTTAGAAAAGGAGTGTTTAAAACATACTTTTTATTTGATAAACTCCGTTTTTGTTTTTTTCTTTATTTTTCATTTGATTTTTCCAGAGACTATGTTGAAGTTACTGCTGGTTACATTGCAGGGAATATATTTCTTAAAGTTTATTAAAAGATCAATTATTAAACAGGCAAGAAAAAGCAAGAAAAATTAATTATCAAGTCGCATATTTTGGAAACAACAAACAAGTTGTCAACATTGACAGTATTTGATGAAACAACAGCAGCTGTAATTTAGAGTTATTTTTTTGAAAGAAATAACACAGCACAATTTTTATCATTGTTTTACAAGTTATTTATGATACTTAATTCAAAGCAGAAACTTAATTCATTCAATCAAACTCAGTAAAACAGCTTTAAATGGTGATAACACTTTATAGAGAAATTGCAAATAGTACTGAAATTTGATCAAAATAATACTTTACATTAAAGTATTTATATATCAAATTTGTTCTTAGTTTCAATATACAAAGTAATCCTTTGGAGCTAGGTTTTAGTAAGTAATCCTTTGGAGCCAGGTTTTAGTAAGTATAGTTAAATGACTAGTAGTAGACTTTTTATGAGTCTTGTAGAAATATGCATTTGTAGTAAGATTTTGGCAGATTTTCCCAGAAAATATTTACCAGAATTTTGATAATTCTAAAAAAATATTATGCAAAATATTGCTTAGTTGTCTACATAAATACTTGTATCAGTTTTCTGAAAATGGCACAGATGTATATATATACTAAAGCAAGTAATAATTGACAAAAAGATTTTGATGTTAAACTTATGATCAATAAACGTTACTTTATAAAGAGAAGAACCTATATATTCAATTCAACCTCTGTCTAATTTTATTTGTCATCTTTTTTAGTATTTTATGTTATTTCTCTTATTCTAATAAAACATTGCAGTCATTCTTTTAAATTAAAATTCAATTAAAAATTTGCAAAACAAATTTTAAAGATTTGATGTAGCATTGTCAATTTTACAAATGAAAACCACAAAAAGTGGGGAATCAAATATAGATCTCGTATTGTTAATAATATTTTTTATAATAATTTGCAAAAAAAAATTACATATTCATTGAGAAAAGATCATGTAAAAGAATTCCAAAAAAGATAAAGACAAAATAAACATTTTGTTATGGCTAACACTCTTAGCCATAACAAAAATGAAGTTTTTATACTTGAGCCGTAAAAAAACTGGCCTCTTAATTTTTTAGGGAAAATGCAACAAATCAGGCCGTGTAATTTAAGTAAGCCATGATACGACTTTCATTTGAGAACTATGACTGGTATCCGTTGTTTTATCAAATATAACGCTATAAAGTTTTCCTTCAAAAATTCTTGTTGTAATTTCCTGAATTTGTTGAGTGTAGTTCAATCAAATCATTTTGAATACTCTTACAAATGTATGTTGCTTTAGATTTGTCTTCCTCCGATAACTAAATTACGTACATCTGTAGACGGACATTCACATGTTCTGATGAAATCTGATGTTGCCAACATAGCAACTTTGTGATACGCATCGCAATCATGTCATTGTAAGTCTCCTTCCTTACTCAAAAGCTTTGAATAACTTTTATGAGGTGAACTAGCTTTGGTAATTGTACTTGACTGTGTATTCCCCCAACTTTTTCAAAAAGAAAGCAATACTTACAAAAGATTATACAAAGTCATTCTGAAATCATTATCCACTGAAATTTAAGTATATTTTTCTCGGAAAATCATTCGGTATTTATTTTGTTCAGTTACCTAACGTGTTAAAAATGCCCCAATGTCAATAAGCAAACAGCCATCATCTTTTATCGCGGGTATTAAATTTTCTTTACTAATTTCTACGTTAGTTTTACTTTTAAAAATAGCAGCTTCTATACCAAGTCCAGATTCTGGAGAAAAAGGAATATTTTTCTTTGTAATTTGGTTATTTTCAGCCCCGCCAATAAATGCAAAATTAAGTTGTTTGGATGATGACACCGAAGATAAAGGCAAAACAATAGGACCAGCAAGGTCCTGCATTGGTAGAATTTTAATTCTTTTTACAAAATACTCATTTAAAGAGCTTATCATCATTACCCTGTCAGTCATTGTAGCTAATTAAAATGATTTCATTTGAAATAGTAAAAATCATTTGTCATTTATTTATTTAAAATAGTAATAAACACACTTTTGTTTTCCAAATAAGAAACTAATTCATAAGAAATTCATTCAGTTACTATTTAAAAATTTATTTGTTTTATTCACATAGAGACATTAAATCACTTTTTATTATAGTTAAGAAAGAATTGCATATAATAAACGAGTGGTTCAGGTGTAACGATCTCTTTTTGAATTTCAAAAAGACCAAATTCATACTATTTCATAAACCAAATAAAAATGAAAATACTCCTCTCAAACTACCTGATCTAAAAATAAATAACACTAATATAAAAAGAAAAACTTTCATAAACTTTCTAGGTGTACCCGTACGAAAATTTCCCATGGGAATTTTAGAAAAAAAACCCATGGAAAAACCATGGGTATTTGGAACACGTTTCCATGAAAAAACCATGAGTTTTCCATGGAAAAACCATGAGTTTTCCATGGAAAAACCATGAGTTTTCCATGGAAAAACCATGAGTTTTCCATGGAAAAACCATGAGTTTTCCATGGAAAAACCATGAGTTTTCCATGGAAAAACCATGAGTTTTCCATGGAAAAACCATGAGTTTTCCATGGAAAAACCATGAGTTTTCCATGGAAAAACCATGAGTTTTCCATGGAAAAACCATGAGTTTTCCATGGAAAAACCATGAGTTTTCCATGGAAAAACCATGAGTTTTTCATGGAAAAACCACGAGTTTTCCATGGAAAAACCATGAGTTTTCCATGGAAAAACCATGAGTTTTCCATTGAAAACACATGAGTTTCCCATGAAAAATCTTTAAGTTTTTCATGGAAAAGTGTTCCAAATACCATGGATATTCAATGATTTTCCATCCATGGAAAAACCATGGAATTTCCATAGGTATTAGGAACACCTTTCCAATGAAAACTTATGGATTTTTCATGGTAAAAAAGCATGATTTGTTTTCAAGTTTTTTATCTAATGTTATTTGAATTGTCATATTAAATCATAAAAGCAAATTTTATCCCACTATTATTGAGTTCTCTTAATCTATGAGATCGCTTTCTTCAAATAAAATCAATAAACAAAATAAAATTTAAATCTTGTTAAATCCTACAAATCTTTGAAAAATAATAGCTATAATGCACCTAAAACATCAAAACTTGACTTCCACACAATATTTAATGCATGCATATGTATAACATACTGAAAATAAATAAAACAAAAAATTACAAGTAATATAATACTATAAGTGATATACATAGTGATAAACAATTGAAATTTATCAAGAAAACAATTTTTACAAAAAATAAAACAATTTACATGTTTATTATTTTATATTAACTATTTGATAAAAATAGTATATATAAATTTGATAATAACTTCAAGTTTTAACAAGTTAAAAAGAACCATCAATACAACATATTTAATTCAAAAAAACATCAAGCCCATTTATAAATGCGTCTGTACTGTATCTGTAGAAACAGGTAGATGTTAAACAAAGTACCATTCACATATTAATATTCATTTTTTTTCACCCTAGTTAGTCTCATTCTCCATTTCACCAATCTAGACAATACATCATACAACTATTATATACATTCTAACTAGTTTTCTTTATTTACTAATTCATTTTACTTATAATTATTATCTATTATAACTTACTTTATAATTAGGCATTATACACAATTATGAATGTTGCCAAATGTTAGGTATATAGAAAAAAGTAGCAATGAATATATCATTATTTATAAATGCAAATTATTAGATTGTTACCTCTTTTTTGCCTAAGCTATCTGCATTATGTACAACATCGTTTATATTTCCAGTCAAACATTCCTGCCTATAATGTAACTTTATTAAAATGATTTATTCAAACTAATACATATATAAATGTTACCTGCATGTTAGAAACATTTATATAGAACAAGGCAGCAACAAATATTATATTATATATTTACTTTTGTAATTAAAAAAAAAACTTACTTCTTCTTCTGAGCTATCTGCATGATGTACAACATCATTTACAAACCTGTTTTCTTCACGTCCTTCCATTTTTTAATATATTATAAAGCACAGGACTTGTTAATGAACGACTAAATAAATAAATTAAAAATTTATATTTAAATGAAATGATAAGGTTAAAATGAAAAGATTTATACACATATATAAATTTTACCTGCATGTTAGTAACATTTATATAGAATAAGGCAGCAACAAATATAGTATAACTTATAAATTGTAATTTTAAGTAAAAACTTACTTCTTTGTCTGAGCTGCCTGCATGATGTACAACATTATTTATATTGTCAGTCAAACTTACCTGCTTATAATGCAGTAATTTAAATAAAATGATAAAGTTAAAATAAAAGAACTTACGCACATACCATTAAATTCAAAAATTTATTATATTTTTACTTCACTATTTAAAACATAACAAATATGTAATTTATAAAGTATAGTAATGTAAAAGCATAGTAAATATCAAAGTGTGTGCAAAAATTAATTTATTTTAACTAAAGACGAGCACTTTACATCAGTTAAATATAAACAAATAAAAATAATTGTATTATAATAAATAATAGTGTATTATTTATAAACATTGCTTTTATATGCTTATATTTAACTATGAAGTAAAATCTTGTGCATTAAGTAAATTCCCTTACTGATACTTATAAAATATTACCACAGTTTTCCTTCTCCAACTAAGTGGTTCTTGGAACATCCTTACAAGTTGAATCCCAAAGATTACGTTTATATCTTTTCTGGTTTAAACTCAATTCACCATTTTATTTTGACAGCTTTTGAACTATTTTTAAAAATATTAAATGCATATAAAAACTGACGATGTTATAAACAATATAAACGATGAACAACATTATTTATATTGCCAGTCAAACCTGTTGGCTTATAATGTAGTAATTTAAATGAAATAATAAAGTAAATATAAAAGAATTTATAAACATTATTTATATTACATTATTTACATATTCTAATAATTCTAAAGAAAAAACTACAACAAAAAGACAAAAACAACTTAACAGAACTAAAATTGAATAGAACATTTATCATAAAAAAATGTTTTTTAATACTTAATGAACATTTACGATACAATAAACTTCAAGCATTTTTATGTAATCTAAGGCTATTATAAAAAAAAAATAAAAAAGATCATACTAGTTATCTTTTGTACATTAGTTATCTAATCTTATTATCTTAGTTATCTAATCTTATCTAATATACTGCTTGTATATTAATATTTTAAATAAGTTTCTTTAATACGTTCGATAAATTTTATAATAATAATTATACTAGTTTGAATGTACATTAAATTACACTATGTACATTAATACACTAGTTATTTAATGTAGATTAAAACTAAACATTTATTTGTTGTAAACCAAATAATAATTATTTGGCAAATAATTTGCCAAGTAGGCATTAAAATTCAAACTGGTTTACTTGACATACTTGCTATACTATTGCAAGTTATGCAAAGTAAGCAAAGCTACTGGAAACAGTTAAAATAAGTATATGCATAAATGATATATAATAAAATATAATTAAAAATAATCCCTTTTATAATGCATTATAATATGATAAATATATCTAGTTGTTTATGTCTGTATGTTTAGTTAAAACATATAAATGTATTGCATTATAAAAAACATATAATTCATAGCCTTATTAAACACAGAAAAACAGAAGAATGCAGTAAGTATTGTTTTCTAATTTAAAAATAATCATAACTCTACGAGCTATGACGCCATCTTTAAAAGCGCATTTGTAACAACCATGGCGCAGCTTAAGCTATGAAAAAAAAACATGGTTCACCCATGGAAATTCCATAGGATTTCAATTTTCATGAAATTTACCCATGGAAATTCCATGGAATTCCCGTTTTTCATGGGAAAACCATGGTTTACTCATGGAATTCCATGGGTTTTCCATGGAATATTTCCGTAAGGGTAGTCTTGGATGAAAGTTTATAGTGGAAGCTCCATATAAATACTTTAGAGAAAATAAAGAATGTTTAAGAGAATAAAGAATGTACAGCTCTCAACAAATATTTCATTAATGTATAAAATATTTTATTAATGTATAAGACCTTTCCTGAATATTATTTCCTTAAAAAGTTTATACTTATTATTAATACATAGTCACCTTAGCTATGGTAACATGGGCTGGGCAAGCACAAGTTATACTAACCCTACAAAAACTCTACAGTAAACAAAAATATGCCTGTAGTCATTGGAGTAAGTAAAAAAGTGTCTTATGAACTTCTCTTATGCAAACTTGGAGCGTTGAATGTATACAAAATTAACATACATATTGATTTACAGTTTATGTACAAATCAAAATATGGGCTATCTCCGCCAATATATCAACCCTATTTTAGCAAAATAAGTCATAAATATCCTACTAGATTCTCATGTAACAATTTGTCATCCCAAAATTTACATTAAAGTTAAATTCATACTCAATTCAACACCGCGGACCTTATTTGTAGAAATTTTTTCCCCAGATTGTTACTATCAAAAGAAATACACTTGAACAGTTTAAATCTGGATCAAAGCGATTTTACTATCTGCGGACTTTTTCTTTTTCTTTTTTAGTAAAAAATATAAACTAGCACAATTTATTTCTTTTATTTGCTTTTACTTTTTTTGTTCTAAATTAATTTTATAAAACAAATTTATATATTAACAGTTATATCTATTGTGAAACGTAGTTTTACACATTATATATATTTTATCACAAGCATTTATTACGATTTTATATATATTATTGTAAAAAACGACCTGTGAATGAAGCCACAATTGGGCTCGGTGATAAGTCAAACTGATGTCTTCTTCTTGCTCCAGCCATTTGCTTTACTATTTATGTTATTTTATAAATTGTAACTTTCTACGGAAAAATTAAAAATATAAATAAATCTTAATCCTTTTTTCTGGAATCAGTCTGTATCTTTTTTCTACTTTATTTATGACTTTCTTGTGAGGACAACCAACATTGGAAAATACTATGAGTTATTAGATTAAATCACTTATATATCATAATATAACAAAAGTGCCTTATTTTTGCTTCACCCATTAATTTTAATATATGCATATGCAATGTACAATTCTTTAAGGGGTCGTCTATAAACTACGTCACGCAGCAAGAGGGAGGGGGGTAGTGGTTTTGTGACGACTCATACGGGACTTTTTACTAAATTGTTACGATTCTGTGACGTGGGTTGGTAGGAGGAGGGGGGGCAAAAAATGCATGACAATTTATAGATCACTCCTAACGGCAAAATAAACCACACACACAAAAAAAATTACGTATGCAGGTATGGGTGAGGGTTTGTTGCCTCAAAACTTTCTAATGCTTAAAAGGGAGAGGGGATTTAAAGATAGGGATTACGTTGTCTTTAGCACCTCTTGATAAATAGCATGTATTATACATAACGGCCAATAAGATATAATTGAAACTTTGTATCATATATGAATGTATCATATATGATACATACTTATTTTATTTATTGAAGATTTTGTATACTTATAAATCTTTAAAACAATAACAACAACAACAAGTTGTTGAACAACAACAAAAACACCAACTTCCTGATTAAATCAGTTGATTGTTTGATTTAAAATTTACAGGGCCCTATACCCCCAATATGGTAGTTTTTTGTATTTTGTTTAAAAAATAGTTTCAACTGCTCACATTATAACTGCAAGTATACCAGGCTTTTTCCAAGAAATAAAAGTTGACTTCAACCTTATATTATATAAGGTTTACTTACTTTAGAATAGAATAGAATAGAATAGAAAAGGTGCTGTACACACTTGAGGTGTGTAGAGTCTTAATTACGTAGAATTAAGACTATGACAGCCGATTACAAAAATACTGTTTTTAAAAATGTTCAAATTATCTTTATCTAATATCCATTGTAGAAGAGAATTCCAATCACTTATAACTCTGTTTGTAAAGAAATGGTGACGAATTCTTGATTTTGTAAATTGTCTGCGTATTCTACAATTGTTACTTCTACTAGATCGCTCCAGCTCAAAATTTAAAGGAGGGTGGTGAGAATTAACAATATCTTTCCTTTTTGAGATCTTATACATTTGAATCAGATCACCTCTTCTTCTTCTATCAAACAAAGTTGGCAGTTCAAGTATCTTTAATCTTTCTTCATACGACTTTCCCCTTAAAGATTCAATTCTCGTAGCCCTGTGTTGCACGATTTCAAGATTGTCAATGTCCTTTTTCCAAAATGGACTTCAAACTGTTGCTCCATATTCTAGATGGGGACGAACTAACAATTTGTATAGTAACTTTAATAAAAGTTCATCCAAATACTCAAAAGAGTTTTTGATCATGCCTAATTTTCTGTTTGCTTTACCTATAGCTGAATTAATATGATATTTCCACTCTAGATTATTTGAAATGAAAATCCCAAGATCATTTTCTATCATTGTTTCTGTTAAAACAGAGTTGTTCAATTTATATTCATATCTTGGATTCTTTTTGCCAATATACATGACTTTACATTTTGATTCATTAAATGTAATTAACCAATCTTCAGACCATTTAACTAACCTGTTAATATCCTCTTGTAATATTTTATTATCATCATAACAATGATTGATTGAAATAACTTTGGTATCGTCTGCATATAATTTAGTGTCTTTAATAATCCCTCTACATAAGTCATTAATGAAGATTACAAACAAAAGAGGTCCGAGTACTGAACCTTGTGGTACTCCACTAGTAACCATCTTCCAACTTGAAATATATTCCCCTATCACAACCCTCTGTGTTCGGTCTGACAAAAATGATTTACACCAATTTAACAAAGATGATACAAATCTTAGTCTGAATAATTTTTTCAGTAATTTCGTGTGAGTGAATCAAATGCTTTTTTAAAATCCAAAAATAAAACATCAACGGAAATATCCTCTTCATACGCTTGCGTGATTAAATCTAATGTTTCTAACAGGTTTGTTATACAACTTTTGTTATTAACAAAACCATGTTGCTTTTTAGAAATTAAATTGTTTTCAATGAGGAACACCATCATATGATCTTTAATAATTCTCTCCATAACTTTACCAACAATTGATGTTAATGAAACCGGTCTATAATTTGTTGGATCTAGTTTATTTCCTTTTTTGAATAACGGAACAAGTTTGCACATGACCATAACTTTGGAATAGATTCTGTAATAAACGATTTAACAAATATTATTGCTAAAGAACTTGACAAAGATTCTGAACATTCCTTTAAAACTTTTGGGTGAACATTATCTGGACCTACTGATTTGTACATGTTTAAATTACTCAAATGTTTCTGAATAATAGAAATACTAAAATCTGGATCAGAACATTTTGTTAAAAGATTGTCGTCTAAAACTTCTTCTGGTGAGTCATCTTGTATAAACACAGAAGCAAAGAATTCATTAAGAGTGTTTACTATCTCTTGATTATCAGTAGTTATAATACCATTATGTAGCTTTATGGCTTTGATCGAGTCTTTAAATCTTGTTTTGTTGTTTATATAAGCATAGACACTTTTAGGATTGCTTTTTGAATTAAGTGCCAAGTTTTTTTCAAAATTGCGAATACTTTTCTTGACAAGTTTTTTTATCTCTTTAATTTTTTATACTTATTGACTTCTAAAAGACTTTTAAAACCTGAATTTCTGTTTCTAAACCAACATTTTTTCTTTTCTTTACACATGCTTTTAAGTTCACTTGTCATCCATAGTGAGTTATTTTTTAGTTGAAAAGAGTTTTTATCTAAATTTAGCGTTGGGATATATTTGGGACACATCCTATTTCATATTTTCTTAGCCATTTTTTGTAACATTCATTAACACTTAGTCCTTCAAATTCATTTATCCAGTTTATGTTATTAAAATACAAATCTAACGCGTTTCCATTTTTCCACAAAAATTTTTTCTTCCTCGTTTGTAGTGATATTAATAATTTAGGTTTATTTTCATAACCAAATCGAAATTTCAAAATATGATGACCATGATCGATACCACCTAACGGTGGAAAATGTTCAAGAAAATAAACTCTGTTGCTATTATCAGTCAAAATGAGGTCTAAAATGTTAGTATCAATACCAAACTTTACTTAAAAACTAGGACTGATAACATTTTGGTGCAGGTAACAGTCATGTAACGACTCAATAAACATACTTGCTGTTGTGTCACTGTCATTTATAATTTCACTAAAACTTTCATCGTTCCACTTGATGTTTGCATAGTTAAAGTCACCACATATTGAAATACCAGAGCATTTGTTATTTTGTTTTAGTACATATGCTTGTTTTAATGATTTTATAATGTCAATACACTTTTCACTATTACTAAGACCTGTCCGGTACATACAACCACATAAGATTTGCTCTTTGCCAATTTCAATCAAACACCATACTTGCTCAATATTTTCATTTATTAGATATTTTTCATTTATTTCATAAGATTTAATATTCTCTTGTATATAAATACATACACCACCACCACGACTAAATTGACGATCTTTTCTAAACAGATTATAACCAGGAATATTAGTAGTAGACATTGCTGACCACCAAGTCTCACAAGCAAATATAACTTGAGCCATAGATCTGGATATATCATCAATGAATTCTTCAAATTTATTATTTAAAGAGGTCGCATTTGTATACCAACATGTTAAATAATCGATATTTTCTGTTTTTAAACCTTTTTGAAGGTCTTGATTCATTTTCTTTACCAGCAGTGTATTAGCACTTGAGTTCAAATGATTACTTTCTCCAGTGTCTGCATCAGGGTTATTTAATTGATTATATATATTGACAAGGTGTATGTAAAGAATGTTTAAAATTATATGTGTTATACTGTGATGACTTGAACAACAATTGCTATTTGTTTATCAACACTACTTGTTTATTTCTAATTACGTGATAGCTTTTAACTTGGTCCCAATCGACTTTTAGGTTGAGTGGTTTATTTAATTCTCTACATTTATCCCTGAGTTGTTTATCCAAGTTTCTCTGAGCATCAGTTAAATCAGGATTTACATAAATACCATTAAACTTACGGTATGATTTTTTTATAAAGTCATTTAACTAACTTTATTTAAACTTTTATACTTTTTATTGAGGTAGTGATAGTTATAGGCTATAATTCACTAAAATTAAAATACCTTATATAAGTTATAAAAGGTATATAATTATATGATAATTTGCCGACTGCCATAAAGACATTTGCCGACTAACTGTCTAAATTACCGAGTAACCTATATCGAAAGTGTCGACATTTGCCGACTAGTCGAAAAGGGTCAAGTTTTGCCGACTAAAACTCATTGATGGTGGGACCCCCACACCCCCTATCGCGCCGGCCTTGTATAAATGTTTATATATATATATGTATATATATATATATATATATATATATATATATATATATATATATATATATATATATATATATATATATATATATATATATATATATATATATATATATATATATATATATATTTTTTGGTACAAAGTTTGATATTTGAATTACTCATAACTCAGTTTATATGGTCAAAGGTTCCAATAAAGATTACGAAGGCACTGCCACGGCGCTATGCTTTTAGCTTTATATTAGCGCATGAGTGATCTTCACACGCTTATAAATATGTGTTAAAAACAAAGAATTGTCTAGATATGTATTTAAGAAAAAAATCTAGGATTAAAAACTCCTTTTTTTTTCTAGATCCTCTTTTTTTAATTTATATAAAAACAATCTTGAAATACGTTACTTAATCCAAATATAATTTGAAAAAATACAATTCTCTAGGACAATTTGAAAAAAATACAATTCTCTAGGATATTTCCATTTGAAATTGCAAACTATATATACAGAGATGGATTTTAAAAGGAAATCAAAGAAAATTAAAAAGAACTATTTATTAGCAATTAATATTTTAGCAGTTATAGTTCAGTTGAAAGTTGAGTTATTTTTGATAAAACTTCTGTAATTGATATTTTTGATAACTCAAATTAAAATAATTGAAGTATTTCTAAGTATTTTATTTGTTCTTCAAATGCTCATTTTTACATATTAAAGCCATTTTTAATAAAAAAAGTTCATTTTGTAAACAAAAAACAAATGTTTTTATGAAAATAAAAATGAAAACGATGCTTTCATTTTCTAAGGATTTTTTTTCTCAGAAGTTTGTGCTCATATCTCATTATATCATATGATGTAATTTAAAATCATATGATATAATTAAATATGCATTTAACTTAAATGCAATATAAAAATGCATTTAACTTAAATGCATTATAAAAAGTGAATAAAGAAAAGGTAAGTGTTGCATATAGAGTATAACGTATCTGGCAAAATAATTAGGATCCGGATCCTACCCGGACTTTTAAAGTTTGGATTCCGATCCAATTTTAACTTAAAAACAAATAAAAACTATTTTACACAATTATTTTTTAATTTTTAAAATATATATAACCACAGTTAATTTTGTGAAATTGTTTCTTTGAAGCATTTCATATCAACAAACCTATTTTAGTTTCAATATTTTTACGTTTATTATTTTTGTAGTAACTTTTTAAAAAGCATAAGGTATCAATAGCATTATCTATAAAGCTACTCTTAAGTTTGGTTACAAACAATCAACATGCACTAAAAGCTCATTGACTTTTAACAGTCTTCAAATTAGAAGTACGTTTTTTTGTTGACTTGAAGACAGAAAATTCTTTATTGAGAAATTTTATACTGTAATATTCATTATTTAATTCTTCTTTTAGCTCAGGACTTTGTATAGCTTTTTCTAGCTGTATTTTCATATAAATATTTCTTTTACTTCGATTTCAAAATCATTGTTTAACAACCTTCTTTAATTGCAAGAGGTAAAAGCTTTAGTAAAAGGTCTTTAGCTAATGATATAACTGCTGATTTTTTTTGACTTTACTCCAAAATGCATCTAAAAGATTAGATAATAGAAAGCTAGGGTTGTTTAAATACTCCAGGTGGTAAATCAAATTAGAATTTCTTATGCTTAAAATTATTATTTTTAAAGCTTGATATAAGTTTTTGCTCAGATTCATATGATTATAGTTGACTTAAAATAAAACAAAAAACTTTTTCTGCTGTAAGCAATTTTGAGTTTTGATGGCAAAGTGCTGCGGTTCCTAATTTTAGAGGCTTTAAAATCTCAACTAAATCTTTAAGAATTAGCAGCTCTGAATTTGATATTGTTATTGTAGACTGTTCTTTTAGAAGTGCTATTTTAATACATTTGCTTAACTTGACAAAACATTCAATCATATAATGAGTTCCAATGTGTTTTGCAGTCTAAAATAGGTTTAAGTTCTGATTTTATATGCTTCCGCAACATATTGTCATTTTGAACAGGTGATTATTTAAAGAATTTTTTTTAAAAATAAAAAATAATCTTTTATAACAACAGCTTCTGTTAAACTAAATTAAAATTCAATGTAGCCCATCTCTTCACCTTAATTAAGTTCTTCAGTGTTATCCTCACTATTATTAATTTCAAAATTATTGTTTTGGTCTAAAATTTCAGTTGTTTTCACATAAAGTACATCCCCTTTGCTAAATGGATTGTATGGGCATAGCAAATATTATGTAATGGGTTGGTTAAACGGCTAGATTTAACCATAACTGATGCACCATCTGTAGTTTTACTAACATTATCATTATTAAATTCCAGTTTGAATTCACTCAACTTTTCATTTACTACCTCAATAACTTTTTTAGATGGCATACTCCCGATAACACATACCACATACAAATCCATGATTATAAAGGCTTTCATTTGTATGCACATTAATGTTTATATAAGGACACCATTTAGTTAATGTATATTTATCAACAGTTAAACTAAATCTGAAATTGTTAGCTTTTATTTCTTTTGATATAGCTGTTAATTGTATTTTTTTTTATTTTTTCAATTTTCATTTTTGCATTTTAATTAGCTGTGAAGTATTTTTATTATTTATAACTGCTCCTGGTTTCATACATGGATTGGCCAATAGGTACAGTTTATTGTGATGAAATTCACACTTGTTTATTCTCCCTTCAGCCTAATTAAATAATATATATATATATATATATATATATATATATATATATATATATATATATATAATATATATATATATATATATATATATATATATATATATATATATATATATATATATATATATATATATATATATATATATATATATATATATATATATATATATATATATATATATATATATATATATATATATATATATATATATATATATATATATATATATATATATATATATATATATATATATATAAACTATATTTGTGTATTCTACAAATAGAATGCTCTATGCTCTGAAATAACAGAGCAATAATAAATTATTAATTATTTAATAAGATAATTATAAGTATTTATAAAGATATATGTTTTTACTTATTTATATATATATATATATATATATATATATATATATATATATATATATATATATATATATATATATATATATATATATATATATATATGTATATATATGTATATATATATATATATATATATATATATATATATATATATATATATATATATATATATATATATATATATATATATATATATATATATACTTATAAAAGTAAAAATATATTGATTGTACTTTGATAATATTTTAGTAAATGCAATATATGGAAGGTGAAGAATCAAATATATATTCACATCACAGTTTATCAGGTTTAGAAAGACTTCGAGCTGAAAAATCTCTAGTATGTTTGCTTCGCGGTTGTCAGGGTTTTACAACTATGGTAGAACTACGAAATGAAAATACTGTATTTGGAAAGTTACTAAATTGTGATGGTTTTATGAATCTGACAATGTCAAATGTTATTTATACAAAAATAAGTGGCGAATCACATGAGTTTTCTGAACTGCATATTCTTGGTAAAAACATAAGGTATGTTCATATTCCTGATGAGTTAGATATAAGAAAAACAATTGAAAAAGAGCTCAAAAAAATAAGACGATCCAGAGAAAGTGGGTCACAATTTGGTAATAGAAGAAGAGGTACCAATTTAAGTGGAGCTAATAAAATAGAACAGTTGCCGGCAGTGAAGTAACTAATTGTATTGTTTTTAAAGATGTAAATATATTTTTATTTATGACTTTATTTTATTGTTAAAGGGTATATTTTGAGTTCTTGTTTGTTACATGCTGACTTCCAAATTTAATACAATTTAGAAATGTTGCATTAATATTCACAGCTTTATGAGCCCTTTTTTGAGGGTTCTGTTTATCTGGCGTTTAAACCAATAAAATATAGACAACTATAAGTTGTAATGCAATGAGATTTTTTTTGGTCTAAATTTTTCTGTTATGTATTATAAAAACAAAGTCTATGATTTCAACAATTTTTTGAAAATAGAAAAACTTTTTTTTTTAACAGATTTATAATTTGACAAATTTGTATATTACTATTTACTTTTTTTTTTATTTTTTAAATACAAAAGGTTGTTTAAAGTTATTAAACATATCTTTAAACAACCTTTTACTCAAATAAGTAGTTACCAATTTAGTTACATATTTTAAAACATAAAGTCACTTGCATCATAACTTTGACATCCATTGAAATTAGGGTTTAATAAGAAAATAAAGAAGATAGCACTTATCTAGGTTATATCTTTCAAATGTAAACTCTATGTACCTACTTGGTTTTTCTAGATAGTCTCATTTTTAGGTGAGCTGTCCTGGTGCCCTGCTTTTAGAAAAAATTATATTTTTTAAAAAAATAGTTTAAAAAGATCTTTTAATAAATAGTTTCCAATACATTATTTATGGTGTCAGCCTGACAATTAAGTAACTTTGTTACTGTAAAAAAAGTTTTCATTGAAACCAGGTAAAAAAATAGCACCAAAAACAAATCAGTCAATAAAAAATACAAAATAATATGAAAAATATTATATAATATAAAAGCAATAGAGTTTTATAATTATGAATTTTATTACATGTTCAAGTACGTATTAGCATACTTCAATTTTGCAAATAAAGGATTATAAATAATAATAAATAATAATAACAATAAAATAAAGGATTGAATTTTTGATAAAAGAACTATTTATATATATTTATTTAACTGTTCCTTATTATAACGAGAAGTTATAATTTTTTGCTTTTAAAATAAACTTGAAATTCTTTGTTACTGGTATTTCTATATATTTAAGTTAAAAATAAAAAATTTTCTTATAAACTTCCATTCCTTAATTTTTTTAAATTAAAATTTAACCAGTTTTTAAGTATAGTTTAGTTTGCGTGTATGAGATGCTACAAAGTTTATAAGAAAAGGCAGACAGTAGAAGTTGAGAAAGTACTCCCAGGGCAAAGGTGGAAATTGAACTTGTAACTTTTTGATTACTAAGCAAATCTGCGCAGTTTTACTGCGAAGTTTTAGAGATAAAGAAAGAGAAAAGTTTAAATCAAATTTGATTTCAAGATGTTTTAAAGAAATTAAAGACTTTTTTGGCTAATTTTTCACTTAGTCTGAAGTTTAGACATTTATAAATTTTATTGACTCGGATTTAAGTTAACGAGTACAGTTTTTTTAGTACTAAGATTTAATTTGTTAGAATGCAGCCATTGATTGACAGTAGATTAGTAGATTAAATAAATCAGTATTTATATATTGGTTGCATTTTTTAATTAACAGTTTTTTTAAGTTAAACGTTTTTTTCATCAACAAAATAATAAGCTGTTGAAAATTTTGGAGACATTAGAGTTATTTATAAAAATAAGGAAAAGTAACAGCATAAAATTTTTCTTATTTTGCAGATATTTTTTATTAAATTGGAAATCATGTTTTTACTGGCTGGATTACAGAAAAAGAAGTTAAATGTTTTCAAGAGTTATATTATCTGAGATAGTGTTTCCATTATATTTAAGTTAGGTTCAATGTTAATAATTTCTTTTATTGTTTTCCATAAATTTTTTGTTTTGTTGGGGTTATTGCTAAAATAGGATATAAAATTGAAGCCACTTTTTGGAAGGTTTCAATAATTTGCTGATTTTACTCCATAAAAATTTAAATTTATTTAATATTCGGTTTTTCATGTTTAAATTTGTCAACCTCTTCACTTCCAACATAGCTGCATGCAACTAATACAGGGTGGCCACTGGTCATGGAAATCATGGAAATGTCATGTTTTACTTGGTCGAAGAAAAAGTCATGGAATTCTTAAATTTTCATTGAAAGTCATGGGAAATTCATGGAACTTTTTAAAATGATCTTTATTTTTTTCAACTTGTGATATTTTTAGGATGCAAAGAAAAAGTACTTGTATATCTAGTCTCAATCTTTTTTGAAAAAGATATTTTTGCAGTGTAAGTTATAAGAGAAGTAAAAATCAGAACTTTCTACCAATTAGTTTTTGGTTTACATGTTTTATAATGACCAAGTTGCACTGTTGAAGATTTTCCAGGAGTCATGAGGGCCTAATTTTTGAGTTGAAATACCAGGTTTTGTGACCTGAAAATAGCGGGTTTCGGTGTTAGACAAAACCTTTTTATAATAGTTTCTAGCAATAGTTAACAGACGTCTGTTTTCTGGAGAATTAGTTTCCTGATAGGTATGAAAGTAATGGTTTCAATTGGAAATTGTAGCAGCACAATGTGAGAAGAGTGAGGCTTGACTTGGAATCGGCCAAAAGTCAAGTAGAGAAGGTAAATGATTTGGATTGTCTGGAAAGCGAGTTGAAAAGTTGGACCTTAAAGATTGCAAAGTCAAACTAGAGTTAAGCCATTCAGTGTGATGATCATTAAAGTCAGCAACAAGAACCATATTGGCTGATGGATAAAGAGGACTTGGTCAATTTGATCAGAAATAACATTGAAAAGAGTACAGTCTTGAGATAAAGGAGAACGATATAGAAGAGAAAGACGATAGAGTGAAGTGGTGCTAAACGAAAGCACATAACAAAATAGTCTGTGGATTCAAACCTAATTTACCTACAAATGGGTAAATTCTTATGAATATAAATGCCCAGGCCAAGCATATGACTATTGGAGTCTTGACAAATTAAAGGAAGATACCCATTAATACTAAGATCACAAGATGAGACAGCTGAGCTCAAATTAGTCTCACAAAGAGCAAGTAAGTCAGGTGAACTTTGCAAAAGATAAGACTCAACAGAAGAAAAGTTAATTCAAAGACCACAAATATTAGTGAATGATAAGTTTTGAGAACTTGGTTATGGTGATGGTTTTTTGTGTTTTATAGTTTTTGGTAATTTAGTCATTTTTAAATTTGTTAAAGAACTTGACTCAAAGCACAGATAGTACTCAGTACAATAATTAATAATCCAAAAATTGCCTGGTTACTATAAATAAACCCTAAGCCGTAACAAAGGGCTCCAAATGTGGCCTTTACAATGTAAACTAAAAGTGCCAATATAGACACCATCCATGCGCAACATGACACTGTTAATACTCTGATACTTTACAGGTGTTAATTGAATCAGCCTTTCTGAGAGCTACTACAGAGTTCGTAAAACATGACTACCAACTGGTTGCAGAACTAAAAACAATGTTTTAGAGCTGTGCCCTTATTAGGAGATAAAAGAATGAGTTACTTAGTCATAGAAACAGAGACATTAGCAAAACCCATGCATTGAGTCAAGAATATCCAGCATTCATCATCATCTTAAACTGGAAGCAATGTATTATAAATATATGTTTGCCAGCCTAATAAAAGAAGGGATGCAAGGCTGATCAGCAGATAGAATCTGTTTACCCCTTAAGTCTTTGCCTAGGAGATCTTCTACAAGACAGTAGCAAGATGTATTTAACTTCTGCCCAAGATGAGTGTTTTTATCAAGACACCATCTCTAGCCTTAACACAACCAAGAGCCCGAAAGCAAGGGGTGTTTTAGGTTGGGTTTGATTTCTTTTAGATTTTGCCTAAAAAAATGTATCCAACAAGGCAGCAGGACATGAAACAGGTTGTACTGGGTTATATGTTACCAGTAGCAGGATAACCTGACGTTTGTATTGAAATTTTAGTATATATTTATATATACTGTATATATTCTTTATAAAGTTTGTTTTAATAGAATTTGACTTCAAAACTCCATAAGTGATTCAAGATTTAGATTCAAGTTTAATTTGGCGTTTGGACAGCTTTTTGCATGAGTTATGACAATTAGAGATAAATTATCATGCCCTTTTGATTCTAAATTTTTTTCAAATAACTTATAAGAAAATATGTTGATTGAAATTATCACACTTTTAATTTAAAACTCCCCAATCAATAACTTTTCATTATCTTGTTATTAATTGTATAAATTTATTATTGAAAGTGTCTAAGGATTGTCTGGTAGCTATAAAGTTTGGTTTTTTGAAAGGAGTGCTAAGAATGCAGAAAAATTTTGTCATTAGATCTAAAGTTTGTATTGTGAGGTTTTTAAAAATAATGTCTGAATTATTTATAACATCTTTTATAAATTTTAAATCTGGAATGTGATAATTCAAAAAGATGTTGTTAATACTTATTTTAGACTTTATTTAGAATTTATATGATTATATAAAAGAAAGAGTAAAAACATTACAAGTAAAGATAGTCAGAGCCGAGATGTTGTGTTAGATTCATTATAATTTAGAAAGTCTGCATGTAAGTCACCTATTGGCACAAACTGTTTATTTTCAAAAGTTTTTTGAGTAAATAGTCAAGAATACTATATTACAACAATGTTTCTTCATATTTATGATATCAGGAAAAAAAAAATTAAAAAAAGAAAAAAATTACCATTTTTAATTTATGTCAATATATAACATTGACCATAATTAATAAAAGTATTATAAATGTTCACTATTTAAAATTTTTCAGATTACTTTTTAATTAGATATAAATATTTGAAAAATGAGTCATCGTCTTAAAAAAAAAGATTCTCCTTCCAGTCTTGCATTTGTTCCAGACAAAATAGAGTTGCTGTTGAAAATATATCAAGGTAACATATTTTACTATTTTTAATCTTATGTTTATTTTTTAGGTTTTACAAAAAACAGATACTTAAAAGAACACGGGTATCTTTATGTCATTGTAAATCTTTTGTCCCCATAAGCATTGTTTTTTTTGTTGTTTTTTTTTTGCATAAAAAAAGCAAACTTAATGGGTATTGGTTGGTGCATAGTTAGGGTTATATTTTTATAAAGTATAATTAAAAAAAAAAGATAATTACAAACTGGAATACAACTTGCTATGCTACTCTACACCCTTTATCCTTTGCTCGCTATCAATTGTTATGATTGTAGCAAAATGCAATATTTAACTTGACACCATGCTCTGCTGCATGGTTGAAAACTTTTACTGTGCAAACAAATTGCTCTGCAACTCTAAAATCATGGTCTGAGTGTCATAGCTCAACTGGTTTAGAAATTGAGCCAGTGCTCATTTTAAAAATGTGAAACATCAAATGAGATTTAGGCTCAATCAGACTTGTTAAAGTTGTGTCACCACCAATTTTTTGAAGGCTATTTTACCAAGGCAAAAGTTTTCTGCTCTTAGAGTCACAAGCAATAATTATGCCATTTTTTCCTTTAGTGCATTTGTCATCAAAGGATGTTTACTAATCAAGGCAACATGATGACTTCTTCTGACAAGTACCACTGATGATTACGGAGCTTCTTAATCACAACATCAGCATAATCTTTGTCATAACCTCTAAAATCAAACAAATGTCATAAAAAAACTGGAGGTTGTTGGCCATCCAATGTGCCTGATGCCTAGCCCCTGATTTAAAAAATTGGGCGCCACATGGAGGAGTTTCACCCAAGATTATTAGAGCGTTTTAAACAGATTCACTATAATCATTCATTGGAAAATTTTTTAAATCGTTGCAAGATGATATGTCTGTAAGTTCTTTGACAACTTTATGTTTTATGCTCAGCAACCATTTGTTTTCAGTTCCCAGTACTTGAATTGGTTGATTTTTATCCAACTTTGACCATGCATTTTTAAATTTTTAAATAATTTGTTTTCAGGGCTGAAAATGTTATCAAACAACAATTTTCATACAGCACTAATAATAAGTTCTAAAATATGATGACCACAAGGTAGAGACACTTTCTGCAATCATGACACTTTCTACAATCTGTTGAGGATTGAACATCTATTTTTGATGAGTTGTAGATCTTAAAATGTCAAAGTCTTCAAGGTTACCTCCAGCAGCTTTTATTACTGCAGATAATCATTGTTTGATTGTCCGAAAGCTTGAGACAATCACTGGTTATCTGGTCACAGTATTTTCTTAAGTAGCTTAAGAGTTACAAAATCATTTCGATTTTTTTTGGGTTTTTTGGAATTTTTATAAAAATAATTTTTTATGATTTTAGTAAAGTTAAAAACTCAACTATGTTTTCTCTTTTTTAAAAATACTATCATGGTAGTATTTTTAAAAAAGAGATTATATTGCTATTACTGTTAGCTGATTTGCTAACAGTAAAAGCAATAGATTTTATCGTGCATTAGGTAGAGGCGGAGAAGTTAACGCTATCGCTCTTAGCATTTTTAAAGTTTTTGATAAAGTTTTATATGCTGGTCTTTTCCATAGGCTTTCTTTTTATAGTGTATCAGGTAACATCTTCAATATTATTGAATCCTTCCTTACCAATCCAAATATAAAAGTTTTCATCGATGGACAGCACTCTTCTTCATATCCTGTAACTTCAGGGGTTCTTCAAGGTTCTATTCTTGGCCCTATACTATTTTTAATTTACATTAACAATCTTCCAGATATTCTCACATCTAAGGTGGCATTGTTTGATGATGATACTACTATTTATTCTTGTCTTGAATAGAAGCCAAAATAGAAAGCCATTTTACTTCTGCTACAGCATGGAGCACATATAAAAGTTCTTATGGTTGGTGAACTTTAATTTGGATAAAACCCAATTTTTTTCAGCTAATTGTTAACACAATAGTATAGATCTTCCTATATTTATGAAGGGTAATGTACTTGATGAGTCATCTACCCTTTCTTGGAAACCATTTATCAAATCAATTGCAAAATTAGTACCTGCTAAAGTTGCATCTCTTTATCATGCTTGCCACCTTCTTACTTCAGATTCTATTCTTTATCTCTATAAATCTCTGATTTATCCTTGTATGGAATACTGTTGCCATATCTGGGACGGATCTTCCAATGATGCCCTTTCTCTTTTAGACAAGGTGAAAAAATGCATTGTTAACATAGTTAAACCTGCTCTAGCAACCAACTTTTAACCATTTTCACATTGTCATAATGTTGCTTCTCTTCCTTTTTTCTACAAATACTATAATGGGGACTGCTCTAAAGAGCCAGCGTCTCTTGTACCATCCACTGAAATTCATTCTTGTGTTACTTGTCATTCAATTAAGTCTTATCCTTTTTCTGTGACTGTTTCTAAGTGCTTCAAAAACTATTCATCTAGTTTTTTTCATCGAACATCAGTTCTTTGGAATTTGCTTCTTTCATCTTGCTTTCTTGATTCATATAATTTACAATCTTTTAAGTCATCTGTCAATCATTATCCTACTCTATAAACTTCATCTTTTCTCTTCCAGTAACTTCCAACTCTAATAGTGGTTGCTTGCAGCCTTGTTGGAAGCAAAGATCTTTAAAAAAAAAAGTTTTTTAAAAATGGTAAAAAAGTCATGGTTTAGGCATTTAGTGCTCATGGAGTGGAAAACTTTTAGACAGTTGATGGGTTCTTCGACCAAAATAAGTATCATTATATTTTAGTTAAAATCAAGAATAACTCATCTATTTTAAGATAGAAACTATATATTTTAGCTTGATAATAATATAAAGTATACCACAAGATAAAAATAAAATACAAAATGCTGGAATAACTACTTTTAAGTGGCCAGCATAATAACGTGATCTTATACCAATTGAGAATCTGTTGTTTATATTAGATGCTAAACTCAAAGGTGGTAAGCTTAATAATAAAGATGAATTGTTGTTAACACTTCTATATGGTTGGAGTTTAGCTTGTTAAATTGTTAATAAAATTAACTTGTTAATAAAACTAGTTAAAACATGTGACACAGATGCTAAGCGGTAATTGATGTAAAAGGTTACGTAACCAAGTATTAAAAATGATTATAATACCAAAAGACTAATTAAGTTTCTATTTAATTGTGACAAAGTAAATAAACTATATATATATATATATATATATATATATATATATATATATATATATATATATATATATATATATATATATATATATATATATATATATATATATATACTTAAATATAGAAAAAACAACTTTTAATGGAACTTAAAGTTTCATGCTTATCGGCAATCATCAGCCATGAAGTACAAAATCAAATATATATATATATATATATATATATATATATATATTATATATATATATATATATATATATTATATATATATATATATATATATATATATATATATATATATATATATATATATATATATATATATATATATATGTATATATATATATATATATATATATTATATATATATATATATATATATATATATATATACATTTTAAAGGTGTTGTTAATTTTAATCATATATATATATATATATATATATATATATATATATATATATATATATATATATATATATATATATATATATATATATATATATACACATTTTAAAGGTGTTGTTAATTTTAATCATATATATATATATATATATATATATATATATATATATATATATATATATATATATATATATGATTAAAATTAACAACACTTTTAAAATGTTTGATATTCATGTTTTGAACTACATAGTCCTATATAAATATCCATAGAACTACATAATCTTCAGTAAAATTTACAAAAATCATTAAAAAACCGTTTTTAAAAAAGATACAAATTAATTACTTTATTACAAAAATTTATTATAAAATCTATTACAAAAGGCTAAAAAGGCCATTAAAATACAATAACAAAATGAATCTGTCTCAGAATTCAATAAAAAAAAACATAATAGGTTCCAAGTAGTTAAAAATAAATAAATAATAATTACATTAACGTCATAATAGTCAAAATAGTTCAAGAATTCTTTGTTTGACTTAATTATTTAAACAGGGCCTTTCCACTTTATATGCAAACATGTCCTTTATTTCTAATTCATACTTGCTTTGAGCAGAATCCAAATAAGAAAAGCAATCAAAGGTAACTTTCCTTTGACACAATGTTTTTCATTAAATGATGAAAAATGTAAGACTTTTTATCTTGAAAATGTTCATCAATGCGTTGTGAAAAGTTTCGGACAGTTAGTCCTATGTAGCAAACATTACAGTGAGCACAATTAAATTTGTAAACAATGTTTGATTTATTATTTCTTGGAAGTAATTCTTTTAGTGAAAAGTGTTGTTTAGTTTTAAAAGAAGAAAATAATAATTTGATATTTAAATCTTTTTTATATAACTTTTTAGTAAATTCATTAATTGCTACTAATTTTTTAATAAGACCGTTTTTAGGTTATTAATATGGAACCAGGTATTATTAATTTTTAAACAATGGTCAATAAGAGTTTTAACTAGCCCAAGTTTGTAGCTAATTGAAGTAAAGCTAAAAAGGTGTGTCAATAGACCAATATATGTCTCCTTATGATAAATATTAGTGATCAAATCATGATTATTTTCAATGCAAACATCCAAAAATGGTAAAATACAATTTTGTTCATGTTCACATGTAAATTTGATATTAGGATGTTTAAAATTTAAAAACTCTAAAAAAATAGTACTATCTGTTTTTGAGTAAAATGGTCCAAAAATATCATCTACATATATTTTATAAAATAAAGGTTTATTCTCATTAAATTCATTTAAATAATTACTTTCTAATTTCCCCATGAATAAATTGGTTAAAACAAGAGCAAGTGGAGACCCCATACCTAATAAAGAAAAGCTTCTTTTTAGCAAAGCAGAATTTTAGTATTATAAATGTGAATATAAA